GCTCAATGGGATTTACCTGTATAAATAAAGGTTGATTGATTGATTGACATGAGATCAGGGGTTTCGTGTTTGAATGGCGCTGAATGGTGTGGTTACACCACACGGCAGGATGGATGAAACAAACATTTTGTAAATATACACACACTCCTGAGCTGCAGTGAGAACATTTGAAGTTCTCATTGCAGAACTGAAACAGTTGGGGAGAGACCAACATGGCAGCAGACATGTGAACAGTGTTTTAGCTGAGCTCCAGTTGGCCCTGCTGAAAAATTGCCTTTTATGATTATATCCTTGCTACCTACACACTGGATTTTGTCCCTGAGACTGGTGAAGCTGCATAACTGAATCAACAAACTTGTGATATAGCTTCTAAGCAAATTAAAGTCGAAGGCTTCAGTCTCTTCTCCACCACGACCAATTGTCATCGCTGCAGTCTCAAGCTGCGTAGTGGCGGTGATAGTGTTGGACTGCTGGCTGCCTCCATGGGCAGAATAGGCCTTCAGATAGATGGAGTATGTGGTGGCAGATTCCAGATTGTTGAAATCGTGGCTGAAGGTAGTTTTATCCACGGCCTCCTGCAGTTCAGCACCATCTGGTTCTAAGATGGAGGAGCAGCGAGTGCAGCAGGTGGATTTGCAGGTGCGTCGGCCCCGCCTTTGCTGAGCTCTGGATGAACAGAGGAGTTAGCTCTGAAGTCAGACATTCTGGCCTCAATTAAATCTGAAGTTATAAAGATAATTTAATTTTTTCATTTACCCTTTGTTTATACAATCAACACTGTCCTCAATGTACATGAACCTGCCCCTCTTGAAGCATCCGGAGAACTTTGTGATAAGTTTCTTCATTTTTTTCTTGGACAAGGTTATTAACACTAAGGCTTGTATCTCTTTTGCATCCCATGACCCTTCCATCCCGGTCCCCTGTCCTGCTGTTTTTGATCATTTAGAGTTTATTTCCCTCTCCCATCTAGAGAAACTTGTCACCAGTATGAAATCATCGGGTTCTCCCTTGATGTTGTTCCTCCATATTTTCTTAAGGAGGTATTTGCTACTGTTGGCTCCTTTATCTTAAATGTGATCAACAGCAGTTTGATGTTTAGTGTGGTACCAAGCAATTTTAGACCTGCTGTGGTGCAGCCATTGTTGAAAAAAACTGGCCTTGATCTATCCTCTTTGTCAAACTTTATGCCAATCTCCAAGTTACCCTTTATATCCGACATTTTGGAAAAAGTCGTTTACACACAGCTTAAGGCCTTTTAGGATGAATTTAAAATTTTGGAGGTCTTTCAGTCTGGTTTTAAAATGTACCACAGCACTGAATCTGCTCTTTTAAGGGTTTTTAATGACATATTTTTAGCACTGGATTCTGGAAACTGTGTTTTACTTGTGCTTTTAGATTTAACGGCTGCTTTCGACACAGTCGACCATGACATTCTCATCTCCAGACTGGAGCACTGGGTGGGCATCACTGGCTCAGCTCTGCAGTGGTTTAGGTCCTACCTTTCTGATAGAAGTTTCAATGTGATGATGGATAATTTTACCTCCGCTTCTGCTGCCCTCCCCTGGGGAGTACCCCAGGGCTCTATTCTTGGTCCTCTCTTGTTTTCTCTTTATCTTCTGCCACTGGGTTCTATTTTCAGAAAGCATGGTGTGCAGTTTCATTTATATGCAGATGATTGTCAAGTCTACTTCCCTTTGAAACACAATGGCTCCACTCAGTCTCTACTGTACTGTCTTGATGACATTAGAGGATGGATGACACTTAATTGCCTCCATTTTAATGAAAAAAAAGACTGAGGTTATGTTTTTTAAATCCTGTGGCCCTAGCAGTTTCTCCACCTTGGACTTTTCCTCTTTGGTCCCATATGAAAAATCCATTGTGACAAATTTAGGAGTAAAAATGGACTCCTGCCTGAAACTTGACTGCCATGTCAACAGCGTGGTTAAGTCCTCTTTTTTTCAGCTGAGGCGCCTGTCAAAAATCAAGCCCCTCCTTTCTAGACACCGCTTAGAGACAGTAATCCACGCTTTTATTACCTCACGCCTGGATTATTGTAACTCTCTGTTGATAGGAGTTAGCCAGGCCTCGCTCTCATGGTTACAGGTGGTACAAAATGCTGCTGCACGATTTTTGACTGGTACAGGTGTGAGCACATCACTCTGGTTCTGATGTCCCTTCACTGGCTTCCTGTCCAGGTTCAAATCCATTTTAAAGTTTTATTGTTTATTTTTAAGTCTTTGAACTGTCTTAGTCCTTCTTATTTGTCTGAACTGCTTCACCTTTACATACCATCACGTGCTCTTAGATCCTCTGACCAGATGCTTTTAGCAGTCCTGAAAACCTTTTATAAATCCAGAGGAGACAGAGCCTTTTCAGCTCTGGCTCCTAAACTGTGGAATGAGCTGGAGGTCAGGCAGGCCCCGTCACTTTCTGTTTTTAAAACTCGTTTAAGAACACTTTTTTTTCATTGGCTTTTAACCTAGAGTGAGTTAGCATCTGTGTCTTAATGTTGTATTCTTTTACTTATGATGTTCTGATTATTTTTTTAATATATATTTAGAAGTTTTTATTGTTTTACTGATTTTTGTTTGTTTTTAATTTTGTACAGCACTTCGGACGGCTGCTTGTTTTATTTTAAGTGCTTTAGAAATAAATTGGTATGGTATGGTATACAGGTAGTCTCATTGAGCCACGAGAACTCATTTTCAAGAGAGACCTGTTTAGGGAGCAGATGGTGGGGGTTATGGGCCTTGCTTAGGGGCCCAGAGTGAGGCGAATGAGGGTGGAGGCAGGTGTGGGTGTTTCACCTTTTCCATCCACATTTTGATGTTGACAGTATCGGGAGTTAAACCTGCGACTTTCTGATCTCAGGTCCAGAATGATTACTGTTTCAAACTGTTGCCTTGAAATAATAGATTTTACCTTTGCCAATTTTCTCAAATGATAAAAACCAGACTTGACTGTGGCCCTTATTTGATTGTCAAGTTTAAAATCACTGTCCATCTTAAAACCAAGGTTTGTAACTGTGGACATTGTCAGAGGGTCTAAGTCAACTGGAGGGCTCGGACAAGCTCCACTAGGTCCAAAAACAAGCACCTTTGTCTTTTTCCATTAAAATGCAGGAGGTTTAGGGCCATCCAAGCTTTAAGATCCTTGAGACACGATAAAAAAGGTTTAATGGACCAAGCATCAACTCCCCTTAAAGGTATTTAGATTTGGTAATCATCAGCGTAGCAGAGAAAAAAGATGCCGTGTTTTCTAAAAATCGAGCCTAGAGGAAGTAGATACAAAGAAAAGAGCAAATCTCTCCCACTAACTCCAGTTAAGACTCTGGCAGCAGCATTTTGGATCAACTGAAGACGTTTTAAAGAAGGATTTGGACACCTAGATAATAAACTATTGCAATAGTCCAGTCTAGGCGTGACAAATGCATGAACCAGTTTTCATCAGACTCTCTTCTTTATCAAGCTTGAATGGTGACAGAACCAGTTTGGTTCTAGGTGACAATTTCAGTGTTTCACGTTGGCCCCACCCCTTACCTCCCAGTCTCCTGATGTGCAGCACATATCCAATTATCTGCTGGCTGGCGTGTATATCTGGCTGGTCCCAGGTCAGATGCAGACCGCTGGTGCTGAGAGTTGTGGCCCGGAGCCCGGTGGGGGCCTCAGGCAGCTTGGGTCCCTGGCTGATGGTGAGGCGGGCGCTGGCCTGGTTGGTGCCGGCGCTGTTCTCAGCAATGCACTGGTAAATGGCCTCATCCTCAGGAGTGATGTGGGTGATGGCGAGTGTCCTGAGGGAGGATGCAAATAGAGAGGGGGTGGGGGTGGGGGCTTCTAGAATTTCTGCAGGACCTGAAATGGACCTCAAACCCTCTGCTTGCAGTCTTACATGTTTCCACTGGTGAGTTTGCCATTATCGCTTGGAGTCAGCAATTTTCCGTTCTTCAGCCAGATGAGGTGTGGCTCTGGGACACCAGTGGCCATGCAGCTAAACACTGCGCTGCCCCCTGCTGGTCTGGAGAGGGACTGAGGCCATTGCACAAACTCTGGAGGGGCTGAGAAGCAAAAACATCAACACAAAGTGACTTTATAAAAACTCTATGAACAGACAGCAGCTAAACTAAAGATTAACTCAGTAAACCCAGTCTAACGCTAACTATAGGATTCATAAAAAGGAAAGTGTTCCTCATCTTTCTACATTCGCCTTAGAATCTAGCTGTTTTTTTTGTTACCTTTTTCTTTTAGCCATCCTATTTGTAAAAAAAAAAAAAAACCTGCAGTATGACTTTTTATAATTGTTTATTGTTGTTGCTGTTGTCCATTGTTGTCATCTTTCTTTGTTGAAATCAGGTCTCTCTTGTAAATGAGTTCTCGAGGCTCAATGGGATTTACCTGTATAAATAAAGGTTGGATGAATGAATCTTAAAGTAGACAGAGTATCAGCATCATGGGCAGAATCAGGGAGAGAGGAGCCTGAGAACTGAAATCTCTTCCTCCCATTCTGCTTTTGGATACTCTAGGAACCACAAGTAAACCTGCAGTCTGAGAGTGAAGTGCTCTGTTAGTAAAATATGGAACAATAAGATCTGTAATATAAGATGCAGCTAGGTTGTTGAGGGCTTTGTAGGTTAGAAGTAAGATTTTGAATTCTATTCTGGATTTGACAGGGAGCCAATGGAGAGAAGCTAAAACTGGAGAAATCAGAATATTTCGATCCTTCAGAGTTCCCGAGCTGACTGTGACCCTGAACTCATCGTCAGCCTTAACTTGAACTTCTTTGTGTTTTTGTTTAAACTCCACTTTGACTTGTGACTCTTCCACCCCCACCAGCAGGTGCTGTCTCGTCGCCGACGTCTCATCTCCATAGCAATGACAGCCAACACACGCACACACACGTCTTCATCACTTCACACAACCTCCTGAGTCTATGCCCTCTTCCACTTTAAATGCATAGGAAAAAGAAGAGGGCGAAACCCAGGGTTCAAAGGTCAGAGCACAGGGGGAGGGGAGTTCATTAGCAGCATGTTGGTGAAGATTCTCAGTCAACCAGGACATGATGAATTCAAAAAACGTTCAATACAAAAACAACTGGACTTTATTTGTAACAGAAGACGTTTCACTCCTCATCCGAGGAGCACAACAAACACACCCACCTATACACACACACACACACACACACACACACACAGGTTTGTTTTGCTATCTTTATGGGGCCTTTGCATTGACTTCCATTCATTTTTCATTCATTTCTATAGCCTAACCATGACCTTTATCCATAACCTAACCATTACCAGTACATACCTAACCCTAAACCTAACACATCCTCAATTCACACCTTAGTCCTAAACCTAGCCCCTAACCCACCAACGGGACTTCTTCTTATGGGGCCCGGGCTTTGGGCCCCATAAGGAGCAGTTGGTCCTCACAATGCAGTATAAGTTGGAAAAATGGGCCTCACAAAGTAGCATAAACAAGGACACACACACACACACACACACACAACATTAAAATGTTGGAATGAGAATAGACAAAGTTTGTAATCCAGTGAAATAAATCAAACTTCACTGTTTAACTTCAGAAACATCAATAGTCTGAGTTTCATGTTTGTGTGGCTCCTCAAGACAACACTTGTTGTCATCTGTGTTATGTCATATTGTTTATTTGTCATATGCAGGTTAACACAAGGTCAGCAGTGCAATGAAATGTTGAGGATGAGAAGAACCAATCCGACTCGCTAACTGGTGCAGTATGAAAGTGTTTATTAATATTAATTAATGTTTATACATCATTGTCACAACTGAGACACCAACATGTTCCATGTTTGTTCTATTACAATTCATGTGTGAAAATGTTTCTGCTGACTCATGAGCAGAACCAGATGTTTACAGCTGTGAGATCTTAAACGAACATCTTCAGAACACAAGTCCAGTTGTTTTTGGTTTTAGCCTTTTTTTGGACTGCTTTCAAGTAGGTTTTTGTTTTTTACTACTTTTCAGTAAATCTCAGCTTTATGTGCTCTTTATTTTCCTGCCTTCAGAAAATGTGAGCTGTTAAAAGTTCACATCCCATCCAGAGCTCAGAGGAAACCTTCAGCAGAAACTGTGCAGTGATGAGCGTTCTCTCTTCATCTTCACAAGAAGTTTTTCCAGTTTAACAGAATCAGGTTCAAACTAAAACAGAAGAAATGCTTGGAGTTCATCACAACTGAACTGGACTCCACCTCTGACAGACTGTTCTGTGGGCGTTGTGAAGCAGAACTCTTCGCATGCTAATTAATATTCTAATGAAGCCCACAGACACACAATGAGGCCTCTGACCCCCCACAACCTCTGACTGAGCTGCCGCTGAGCCGAGCAGGCGGGCGAAACAAGCGCACCATCCATCTAATACACAGTGAAGAACGGACCAACCGAACCACTACCAGGACCAGGACCAGAACCAGAACCCAGACCGGCAGGAAGAAGAGGCTTTGTTTTACCATACCATACCAATTTATTTATAGAGCACTTAAAACAGCAACAAGGCCAACCAAAGTGCTGTACAAAAGAACCAAACATGCACAGCGGACAGGAAAACATAAAATAGAAATACAGATACAAATAGCAGCAGAAGCTAACTAAAATGGCCAACAGAGAAGAGAACAAACCGGACCAAAACAAATCACAACGTGTTAAAGGCAAGAGAATAGAAGTGGGTCTTCAAGCGAGACTTAAAGACTGAGAGTGTGGGAGCCTGCCGGACACTCAGTGGCAACTCATTCCACAGTCGTGGACCTGCAACAGAGAAAGCCCTGTCACCTCTGAGCTTACGACGGGTTTCTGGGACTGAGAGAAGCATCTGGTCTGCTGACCTCAGAGAGCGCGGTGGGACATATGGCTGCAGAAGATCAGTGAGATAGGATGGGGCGGAACTGTTCAGTGATTTAAAAACACACATGAGAATTTTGAAATGGATCCGAAGGTGAATGGGTAGCCAGTGCAGGGAGGCCAAAACAGGCGTGATGTGCTCTCTATAGCCTGTACCAGTTAAAAATCGGGCTGCAGCATTTTGGACCAGTTGTAGACGAGCAATGGAGGACTGACTGATTCCAAACAGAAGTGAATTGCAGTAATCAAGCCTAGATGTTATGAAGGCGTGGATCACTGTCTCAAGGTTCTTTTTGGAGAGTATAGGCTTCAGCTTAGACAGCCGTCTCAGCTGAAAAAAACAGGATTTTACCATCATGTTTACGTGACTGTTGAGTTTTAAGGACGGGTCCATTATCACCCCCAGATTAGTGACCTTTTGTTTCTCTAGCGGGGCAAGAGAGAAAAGGTCAATGTCATGGTTCATGAGTGAGCCACTGGGATGGAACAGCATGACTTCAGACTTCTTCTCATTGAAGCTTAAGAAGTTTAAAGCCATCCAGTCCCAGATGTCAGCCAGGCAGTCAAGAAGAGGCTGAATAGAGCGTGTGCCTCTGTGCCTCAGGGGGAAGTAAATTTGGCAATCATCAGCGTAGAAATGAAAGGGTATGTCGTGTTTGCGGAAGATAGCTCCTAGTGGCAGCAGGTATAAAGAAAAGAGAAGGGGACCGAGGATGGACCCCTGCGGTACCCCCCACTGGAGCGCTGTCGATGCCGAACTAGAATCTTTGATATTGACACAGAAGGTTCTGTCAGATAGGTAGGACCCAAACCATTTAAGGGCTGACACTGTGATGCCCACCCACTGCTCCAGTCTAGAAATGAGGATCTTGTGGTCGATGGTGTCAAAAGCAGATGTAAGGTCCAATAGGACCAACAGCACAGAATCACCTGCGTCTGTGGAAATGAAAATGTCGTTAAAAACCTTCAGTAGAGCAGTTTCAGTGCTATGGCGAGATTTGAAGCCAGATTGGAATAACTCTAGGATAGCGTGATCCCCCAAAAACTGTTTCAACTGAGACTCCACAATTTTTTCCAGTAGTTTAGAGGTGAATGGGAGTCTGGAGACAGGCCGGAAGTTGGACATGACTGAGGGGTCAAGGTTAGGTTTTTTCAGGAGGGGCTGGACAGCAGCATGTTTAAAAGTCTTTGGCACCACACCTGAGGATGAACTGCTATTCAGAATAGCGAGGATAAAAGGACCCAGGGTAGGAAAAACTTCCTTTAGTAGTCGAGGGGGGACCACATCAAAGGGGGAACCAGATGGCTTCATGCTGCACATTACCTGGTGCAGAGAGGACAGAGAGATGGGCTCAAAGTGGTCAAACACAGCCACGTACTGAGATGGGATGGACAGATCATGAGCTGGTGGAGAAATGAGTGCCCGGGTGTTTGCCACTTTTTCTAAAAAGAAATGGAGGAAGTTTTCACACAGCTCAGTTGAGGCTTCCAGAGGTGAGGGCTCACTGAGGTGTAGAACTGAGTTCAGGGTGGAGAAAAGAACTCGGGGGTTGTGGGAGTTGGAGACAATTAAATCAGAGAAGAATTTACATTTGGCAGCTTTAACGGTTTTCTGATAGTGACGCCAACTCTCCCTTAACATTTGAAAAGAAACCTGCAGCCTGTCCTTCCTCCACCTTCGTTCAGCTTTGCGACACTGCCGCCTAACGGCTCGCGTGACGTCATTCAGCCAAGGCTCTGATTTAAGTTTCGTTTTTCTGGTTTTAAGGGGAGCAACACGGTCCAGAACATCTAAACAGGCAGAGTTGAACTGAGAGGTTAGCTCCTCAGTGGTAAGAGACACCGGGAACTGTTCGATCCTCTCAGAATTAAAACCTTCATTAAAACGAGCAGCAGTGAAACGGTTAATGGAATGTGTACGTGCAGGAACGCACGTCTTAGCAGTATGACAAGGGGGGGTGAAGTCAAACAATACAGGCATGTGATCTGAAAAAACATTGTCACCGATTTTCAAATTAGAAACAGAGACATCGCGTGTTAAAACGAGGTCCAGCGTGTGACCATGGTCTTGGGTGGGACCGTGTACCTGCTGAGATAAGCCAAAAGAGTCCAATAAATCTAGAAAGTCCTTCACTAAGGGCTTCTCCTGACAACACACATGCAAATTAAAGTCACCAATAAGCAAAAAGTGAGTGTATCTCTGTGTGATATCAGCCAAAAAGTCAGAGAATTCATTTATGAAGTCCTTAGAACGAGGGGGGCGGTAGACGAGCGCGCACAGGACCGGAGGAGAGTGTCCAAGTTCAAAGGCGCTCAGCTCAAAGCTGGCGCGGGACACCGGGATGGACAGCTGTTTACAGGCCAAGTTTGCTTTAAAAACTGTTAATAATCCCCCCCTCGCGCCGACCTGATGGCCGCGGGGCATTGAAACACAGACAGTCCGGAGGTAGTAGTTCCACCAAGGCGCTGGACTCACCATCAGAAATCCAAGATTCCGTGACGAACAGAAAATCCAACTCCTGATCTTTAAAAAAGTCATTGAGGATAAATGTCTTGTTGGAAACAGACCTTGCGTTGATTAAACACATCCTGATATGGTCCAACACAGGCGCGGCGCAGGTTATGGAGAACAGCTCCTCCTGGTCTGCTGGTGCAGCGCACAGGTAAACAACTCCAGGTGTTTCCATGGACTGAGCGCGCGGGCAGCTGGCCAGCAGCCGGGCCCCGGGAGCACCATGGGTCAGAGAGGAGATGATCAGATCCAGAGCGAGTCCTGATAGAATAATCCACACTTTGCCTCAGTTTCACCAAAATCCCTGCACGCTTCCCACGACGTCTGCAACATTTCCTCAATGGAGAAAGGCCAGGGTCACGCAGAAGAAATGCAGGAATCTCAGACAGGACCGGTGGGGGAGAGTGCTGGCCGCTGTTCAAAAACTCCGCGGGAATTTCAGCAAAAGTACGGAGCTCCAAAAGTGCCCAACGATCATACTGAAAATATGACTCGGCACACTGCACAAACCATTGTAAAAATAACAAAAATAAAATACAAGCAGAGAGCGAGAGACGGGCAGCCCTACACACCGGCGCCATCTTGGAAAAAAAAAAAGAAAAAAAAAAAAAGAAGGAATTTTTGGAATGAAGGACGAGAAACTAAAACATCTGAAGGAGACGCAGCGAGACAAACCTTTCAGATGTTGGAGAAAAACAAACAACAAGACAATTCTGTAGATGGAATTCTGCTGTCATATCACACACACACACACACACAATGCATTCAGGTTCAGTAAACAGGAGATGAGGACGTTGGTCAGCTGATGTTCTTGAGATCCTCAGAACCCGTTACAATGCTAGAAACATAAAAGGAACAAAGTTTCCTACAGCAGCCAAAAATCCTGAACACACCATGAACATCTGGATTCAGATAGAACCCCAGAACCCAGCTGTATAACCTGATGGGATTTGTGTTTAAACAGAAAACTGAAATCTTTTGATGAACTGATTCAATCTGTGTAAGGTTTGTGTTTTTCTGGTCTCTGGCTCCATCTTGTTGTATTTATGTCTTGCGTCCTCAGTCTCTGTCCTGCTCCCTTGTGTCTAATTACCTCATTTCCCACACCTGATCCTGACAGGTATTGTGTGTTAGTCCTCGTGAGTTTCTGTATTTAAGCACATGTGTTTGTCTTAAGCCCCCAGTATACTTTCGCGTACGTCCATACGCGGAGGTACGAGCATACCCCCCCCCCCCCCCCCAGGGCATGTCAAAGCTCAATTTTTACGACGGCGTACGCGGTGTCGCACAATAAACTGCCCAGCGACGGACTGTTTTGTATGCGACACCAATGTATTAAATTTCCCTTCTTCATCCCTGATCTGGCCTTTTCTTTTTCTTTTTTTTTTCCAAGAGGCAGTGATCTCTTCCTCTTCTGTTGATACCATGACTGAAATGGTGAGAAATGAAGGAATTTGTCAAGAGTGAATTAAACTCAGGTCCAGCGTGGCTGCAGGAGGGTCTGGAGATTTCCTGGTGGGCTGGTCTGATGTGTGGGCTGCAGAACCAGCGCTCCCTGTTTTTTTTTTAGATATTTTTATTAACAACATATAAACACAGAACACTGCTGCGGCTGAGGCTGCCAGCACTCGTTTTTTTTTTTTCCGACCTGTCAATCAATCCAGTAGGTGTGTCAGCAAATGACCAATTGGTGATCTCAATTTGTCCCGAAGGTAAACGCCCCTTGTCTGTGAAGCTGCTCTGCAGCTGCTCAGGGTGTATGCGCGAGTATGAAGTCTGAACCCTCTGCGTACAGTACACGCATACGTACGCATGTTTGTTTTTAAATCACTGCATAATCTTGCCCCGGCTTACCTCTCTGAGCTTCTTCATCCCTACATACCCTATCGGTCTCTCAGGTCAGCAGATCAGCTGCTCTTGGAGGTACCAAGAACAAGAAGGAAGCTCAGAGGGGACAGGGCTTTCTCTGTCATGGGCCCTAAGTTATGGAACGACTTGCCTTTGCAGGTCAGAGAGTCCCCTTCACTGTCCATTTTTAAAGTTCGTCTTAAAACTCATTTATTCTACTTGGCTTTTAACACCAGCGGGATCTAGTTTTTAAATTTAAATTTTGTATGCTTTTAAAATGTATGTTTTTTAACACCAGCAGGATCTAGTTTTAAATTGTATGTTTTCTGTTTTTAAACTGTTTTTTATTTTCACTTTTATTATGTTGTGTTTTAATGTACAGCACTTTGTGTCAGCTATGGTTGTTTTAAGGTGCTTTATAAATAAAGTTGGTATGGTATGGTATGGTATGGTATGGTATACTGGGGGCTTTATCCTTTGTCCTGGTATTGTTTCCTGTCGTCTGGTGATGACCTTTTCTGCTCCCTGTGTTTCCCCTGGATTATATCTTAAGTTTTGCTGCCCTGTCAGCCTTTTTTGTTTGTTATTAAGTTATTTTATTTATTTATTCCTGAGTTCTCGACTGCCTGCCTGCACCACTGGGTTCACCAGCACCAACCCAGCTGTGACAATCTGAGTGGCTGGAAAACAAAAACAAGAAGTATTAAAGACTTTGCGCTGTATTCAAGGTCATTCAAGGTCATTATTGCTTAAAAAAAAAATAAAGTTCCAAACCAAGAGGAAGCCTCTCCTGCATTGTTGTTGATGTTGTGTTTGTTTACCTTGAACCACAAGGCGTCCAAATGCGGTTCTTCTGGACCTGCTGCCAGGTCTGTTGGCTGAACATACATAAACTCCTGAGTGCTGCAACGTGGCATCGGAAATCATCAGGTTCCCTGTTCCCAGAACCTGGATCCCCTCTACCCCGATGGAGCGTCCGTCTGATGGTGAGAGATTAAACCAGTTGTGAGCCAGCTGCGATGAACTGTCATGTGTGTGAACGCTGCTGTTACCGAGGCGACTCCAGGACACAATGGGCCGAGGGTTTCCTGTGGCGATGCACTCCAAAATGGCTGTTTGGTGGATATTAATGGTAAGGTTCTGCGGTCCAGACAGAATGATGGGCTCCTTGTATGTTCTAGATCCTGCAACTAGACCCCAAAACAAAAAAAATTAGTTTGGTTTCACTCCTGAAAATTTTCACCCTGAGTTTGGGCTTACCTGTGACAGACAACTGGGCCTCGTGACTGTAGCGAATGTTAGCAATGTTGGAAGCAATGCATCGAAACAAACCGCTGTCATATCGATGCGCGCTGGTGATCTGCAGCACGCCATTAGGAAGCAAAGTGTACCTGAAGACAGAGGACACATTAAGAACATGGTCTGAGGTTCTTAACAGAGGGGACATGTTAAGAACAGAAAATAAAGTTCTGAACAAAAGGGACATGAAAATTTCTATCAGACTTTTTTTTTATTGCCTGAGGAAAAAAAACTAATATAAAAAAAAAAACACCTCGCACAAACTGCACATAGTGACGTAGACATTCTGCAAACGGAGATGAGAGCGGTCAACAATGCTTATAGATGCTCTCGAGGTCACTGTAAGAGTTCTGATAAGATAATCAGTCAATGTCCTCCGGTGAGATCCATAAACATTCTCGAGGTATGTCGAGGAATGGCCAAGAATAACGACTATGATAATCCAAGAGTCCACACACAGAGGACACATTGAGAACACGGTCTGATGCCCTGAAGACCGGACACCCTAAGAACACGCTCTGCGGTTTTGAGCACAGAAACACGTTAAGAACATGGTCACCATGTTCTTAACGTGTGTTCTGTGTTCAGAACCTCAGATTCTGAACATTTAACCTTTATTTATTTATACAAATTAATCACATTGAGCCTCAGGGACTCGTTTACAAGAGAGATCTGAATTTTTTAATAAAGAGTGATAACAACAGTGGACAACAAATACAACAATAGACAGTTAAAAGATTCGTACAATTTTTTAACAAGTTAAAATAAAATGACAATCAAAAGGAAAAGTAGTGAAAAAACAGCTAGATTGTAAGGTGGTGTAGAAAACAAAAACAGGAACATGTCTGCACTGTTTTTTAGGGGCGGCTGTGGCTGAGTGGTTAGAGCAGTCATCCTCCAATGCAAGAGTTGGGGGTTCAAATCCACCAGCAATCACATGCCGAAGTGTCCCTGGGCAAGACATTGAACCTCTCGTTGCCTCTGATGTGTGTCCCATCGGTTTATGAATGTGATAAAGCTCTGATTAGTCTCTTTAGAATGATTTGTTCAATTATCTTTGTAGAGATCTAGTATAGAGCTGTATGAATGGATAAATGAGGCACAGATTGTTGTGAAGAGCTTTGAGTATTTTGATCAGATAGAAAGGAGCTGTATGAGTACAGTCCATTTACCATTTACCATTTTTGCCAGAAACTTATCAGATGTTTGCATTGGCAGGGACCAATGCAGACATGTTCCTGTTTTTAGTTTTATACATT